TATAATAATTAATTGCAATGAAAGCACTTTTCTTAGTTACTTATAATTGTGAAATACTTTTTATTATTTATAATTAATTGCAATGAAAGCACTTTTTCTTAGTTACTTATAATTGTGAAATACTTTTTATTATTTATAATAATTAATTGCAATGAAAGCACTTTTTTTAGTTACTTATAATTGTAAAATACTTTTTATTATTTATAATAATTAATTGCAATGAAAGCACTTTTCTTAGTTACTTATAATTGTGAAATACTTTTTATTATTTATAATTAATTGCAATGAAAGCACTTTTTCTTAGTTACTTATAATTGTGAAATACTTTTTATTATTTATAATAATTAATTTCAATTAAAGCATTTTTTATCAATTACATATATTTGTGAAATACTTCTTATTATGTATAATAATTTTTACATTTATAACATGTCACTACCAATTTTAATTGTTATGTAAAAAATTGGTTCGTGATGTATTTGAAAATATATTTTGTACTTCATATATTTTGTTCTCATTTTTAACGTAAGAAATTATTCGGGTTTCCTTTTACTGTATTACGTATACGAGGTCTGTTCAAAAAGTACCCGGAATTTTCGTTTTTTCAAAAAAATATTTATTTATTCGTCTACATTAATGTGGTCCCCTTCAAAGGAGTCCCCCCCAGATATAATACACTTATGCCAGCGTTTTTTCCAATTTTCGAAGCACCCTTGATATTCACTTTTTGATATGTCCTTGAGCACTCTCAGCGATTTTCTTCAATCGAGGAAAACCGCCGTCCTTTCATGGGTCTCTTCAACTTTGGGAATAGGAAAAAGTCACACGGAGCCATATCTGGTGAATTTTTGCACTTTGCAACACTTTATTTCATTTTTTACGCAAAATTTAATACAAATTCTTTGACTTTTCAATTCTTCCATTGTAAAAATCGCCGAGCTCAGAAAAACACGTCGAACCTTAGCGACTACCACAGACAAAGTAAACAGTGAATATAGCTGAAAATTTCATCATACTTTAGGGGCATGTATACCAACACAATAAAAAAAAAATTTGACAATCAGACACTCCAGACCCGCGAAATTTAATTATTAGTAATTCCGGGTACTTTTTGAACACACCTCGTACGAACCATATCTAGAAAAAAAAAACAGCGTTTAATTTACATACTCTACAAGTGCTGCCATGTTGTGATCTATTCGTAAATTAAAATGAGTGTAACGTCAAATGGCTCGAGATAGCGATCTATTTATGCTTACTTATCTATGATTAGCTCCGTGTATGGACGAGTTGGCTTCACTGGTTCACGAGTGCATAAGTTCATGTGAGTCCATGCTTGTCATCGTGGGGAGTTATCTCCGAAAAAGTGTTCATATTATGATTATTTTGAAAAAAAAAAAAATTCAAGCAATTTTAAAATACAAAAAAAAAACATTTTTTCCAAAAAATCCATTTTTTTCAATAATTCCAAAATTCTCAAAAATCTAATTTTTTCAAGGTTTTCAAAAATATTAAAGCTTTTAAAAGTTTGGAATTACGGTACAAGAAGTTCCATTAAATTGCCTTAAGGCACGATGCCATGCACCACTAGTTTTTCCAGATTTGTTGCGGCGCAGTGCCGCCTTGTACATTCCTAAATTTTGGCCCAAAGAGTAATTTAGGTTGGACATCGCTGGACTAAATAGTAAAATTTTGAACAGTAGAGTTAGTAATGACGTAACCGCCAATAAGTATACAATAAATATTAGCACAAAATTATGTTATTAATAATCTTATATATAAAAATGAATCGCAAAATATGTTGGTAAGCGCATAACTCAACAACGCATGGACCAATTTGGCCAATTCTTTTTTTAAAATGTTCGCTGATGTCCAAGGATGGTTCTTATGGCGAAAAAAAATTGAATAATTGCAGGGAAAACTCTAAAAACAGCCTTTTATTTTTCTCATACAAACGTTTTCGAACTAAAACATAGCATCAATTTGAGCTTTATTGCTATTATATAAAGTTCATATTAAATTGCAAGCACTCACTGTATACTCCTTCTAAACGATTATGTGGATTTTGATAAATCTCTCTGAAGTTTGTTAAGGACATTTTCGAGAATTATAAAGTACTGGGATGTATGTGCAATATTGTAGAAATAAATGGAAAAAATGAAAAAACGACATGTCATTGTCACTGTTTGCATTGAAACGAAAACTATCATCTGCCACAAATTTCAATTTACTTATGAAGCTAGACAATATTAGAATATGCATAATAAATTTATAATTATGAATAAAAAAGATGAAATGTCTATGCCGAAAAGCAGCTGAGATGTGCCAGAAAATAAAATAATATAAAATACAGTATATATATGGCAGATTGAATGATACACATATGTACAGGATATGACAAATTAATTCACTTGAAATATGAAATTAGGTATTAATCAGCGCCGGTCCTACTTTTAATGCGATGCATGCGAAAAATACGAGCGCACGCCTTAGAGAGCGCCAACACAAGATTCGGATATTAAATTTTCAATATAGTTTTTTTCTTCAATATATAATTTCTTTGCATCTTCTACTAATCTTTTCACAATATTTTTAAAATTTGTACAATTTTCACTTTACAACAACACATAGGAAAGTAAGGATGAATTCGGCCCTCACGATATCGATTAGGAGAAGTTTAAGATGCAATTTTGGATAACTTAAATAATAAAAAATTAAATTAATTTAATCCAACATGAAGTACCAGTGTTATGTTATCACTATGGTTATGTTATACCGTTTAAAAGATTTCAATTTTCAATATAGTGTGGGAATTGAGACTCATTATTTTATTGAAGTAAAACTTCTTTAGGCGCGACATGGGTGTAAAAACTTCTTTAGACGCGACATGGGTGTAAATCCGTACAAATGAAACGCGAACGCCAACGTTGAAGTTGAAGCTTACGACGCTAGTTAGCGCAGATGTCGCGAGTATATACTCCCGTCATGTCATGCGTAAGTCGAACGCTAAACCCTATATGAACTTGCATTAATAGAATCACGTTTTTTTACAAAAGAAGAGGTTGCTGTATTATGCCCTCAAGGAATAAGACTTTTCTTAGAGAATAAATGTGTCATGGAATATAATAAATTTATACTGAATCTCGTTGAAGACAAAATAATATCTACTGCCACGGATATTTATGTAGTTTGCCATTCGACAGATCAACAATCATACATTCGTCAGCAGTTTCACAAAAAATCGGTTATTGATACCGGGGGTTTGCCGTATGAAATAATTTTAGTTCTGAATAAATTTTACATAATAACTACTAATATTGATGTAAGTGATGGCTTAGCTAGTGGTTGTGTAGGAAAATTAGTGTACATAGAACGTGGCGATAATGATGAACTTCTACGTTTATGGTTTAAATTTCCTGGTGAGATAGGTAACAAAATTAGGAAAAAAGCTGCACATCATATTCAAACTCTTAATATCAGTAGGACATCTGTGCCGATTCTCAGGAGATCTTCATCTATTCCAATGAATAGAAATAAAACCATATTGGCCAAAAGAAATCATTTTCCTTTAGTGTCTGCTTGTGCACTCACAATACACAAATCACAAGGTGGTACTTTTGATGAAATTGTATATGCTTCTATATGTTGCATTATCACGAGTTACCAGCATTAATGGATTGTTCATCATTTCTAAAAACAACGACAAAAAATTTTATCATGGAAGAAAACGGCCAGCAGGATTAATGGACTTATAAACTGAATTCCAAAGACTTTCAACTTGTAGATTAATAACACAAGAAGAAAAATTGAGTGAGATAATAAGTTTGAACGACATTTCATTGTTTTCCTTTAACTGCCAAAGTTTACGAGCTCATTTGCCTGATCTGCAAGATAAAGTGCTACAACGTTGTAAGTTTTTGTTATTTTCGGAAACTTGGATTAATAATGAAGAACGAATTGATATTCAAAACTATTACTGCGTTACTCAATACAAACGATCAAACTCAAGAGCAGGTGGTGTAGCTGTCTATCATTCATGTTCAGTTACTCTTCATAATGCGACTCCTATGCAGTTTCTTGCGCCAACAATATTACTGGATATTCCTAATGAAATTACACAAGTAGGTGATATTGCAGTTGTCCGCTGTGTGAACACGCAGAATCAAACATTAATTATAGTCGTCCTTTACATTTCTCCCAATAAAAACATATCAAATATTATTAAATTTCTTCATCAGCGGTTACTTCATTTTTCTAATGAGGGTGCAAAACTTTTAAACACTAATCACAACGAGATACCATTAATTCTTGCTGGAGATTTCAATGTCAGTTTTCGTTCAGAAGAATCTCAACCATTAATTGATTTTTTAAATAATAAATTTAATTTAACAATGAATAATTCTCCATTTGAATCAACCACAAGATATGGCACGGCTATTGATGCAGTTTTCTCCAGAAATGTACATAGTTTACATAGTAAAATTTATGTCTCTCATTTCAGTTATCACGAACCTATTATATCATATATGAAATATGATAGCAATTAATCTATCGCTGTTGTTTTAAACTGTGTTATTGATGTTATGTGATTATTAATAAATGATTTTTAAAATTCAAATATGATGTTTTTTTTTATTTTTATCTTAAGGGGGGCGATACATGTAACAAGAAAAAAAAATCGATTTTTTTTTTCATAAATCGTTACAATAACATCTCAAAAATATGCCTGCAAAAATTCAAAACAAAATTATCATTATTTATACAATAAAAACTCATTTAAGTGCCACACCTCAACTCGACGCTCGAGTGCTATTGTACTCTTATCTGTAACTGATAAAAGTACAGATCGTTGTTGATTTCCTATTAGTTGCCGTATTTTAGTTCAGTTCAGTATACTTCTGGCATTCGTTTTGTGCAGAATAAATTAATAAGTTAAATAAAAATGCAGTCTTATCCTAAAAATACAAGAAATATATCAAACCGTTGTACGAAACCACGAAAAAGAAAGTTTCATGGAAATCAACACTCTAATAAAAATGAAGAAAATACGGAAGCGCAAAGTACAAGTGCGAGAAAACTCTCTAACAATGACGAAGAAAATTATCATTACAGTCCGCTTCTAGGCTATCGATTTATCGAGTTTTTTACTGTGTTTACAGCATTGTCAGAGATTTTGATATGTCGTGATTGTAAATTACCTGTGAAATTTGAAGAAAGTGCTAACAGAGGTTTAGGTTTTAAAATCGTCGTGATATGCAAGTGTGGCCTCAAAAACATTTCTTCTGGACCATTAATCAATAATGGATTTGAAATAAATCGCAGAATAGTGTTAGTCATGCGTCTTTTAGGTGTTGCTAGAGAGGGAATCAACTTATTTTGTAATATGATGGACATTTGTAATGGTATATCTGAAAGTACATACAATGCTATCATCTTGCTGTTACACACCACTACACAGTCGTTATTTCAAGCATCTTGTGTAAAAGCTGTCGGCGAAGAAAAACGTGAGAACGAAAAGCATGAGCGGCCAATCTTAAATTTAAAAGTTTCTGGGGACGGTACATGGAAAAAGCGGGGTTTTAAATCAATGTATGGGGTCACAACCCTTATTGGATATTACTGTGGTAAAGTAATTGATTTAGCCGTTAAAAGTAGTTTCTGCGCAGGTTGTGCTCGTTGGAAAAATAAAACTAACACTGAAAAATATCGTGAGTGGTTCGAAGAACATGAACCAAACTGCCAAGAAAACCATAAAGGATCTTCTGGTGCTATGGAAGTCGAAGCTATAAAGGAAATGTTTTCACGATCTGAAGAATTATTTGGTGTCAAATACGGAAACTACATAGGAGATGGAGATTCAAAAACCTTTAAAGGAATTCTTGATTTGAATCCGTATGGCGACGAATTTCAAGTTGTGAAAAGTGAATGCATCGGCCATGTTCAGAAAAGGATGGGTACTCGTCTCCGAAAAACTAAAACAGACAATCATCTGGGCGGAAGAGGTAAATTGACGGAAGCATTAATTAAAAAATTATCGTTATATTACGGATTGGCCATTCGAAGAAACGTTAATAGTGTGAAAGACATGAAAGATGCGATCATGGCTACTTACTATCACATGTGCTCTACAGATGATAAACCAAGTCACGAGTACTGTCCATCTGGTTCCGATAGCTGGTGCAAGTGGCGCAAAGCTGAATCTTTAGGACAAAATCCCAAAAAAATTGAACATCCAACTCCATTACATCCTGATGTTCAATTTCATATTAAGCCAATTTTTGAAGATTTATCTCGGGATGACTTGCTTGAAAGATGTTTAGGAGGCCACACTCAAAATGCAAATGAAAGCTATAATTCTACTGTCTGGCGCCTCTGTCCAAAACATCTCAACTCTGGACGGAAGATCGTAGAGATTAGTGCTTTCATATCTGCAGGATTGTTTAATAATGGATTAAACTTTATCTTGCAACTAATGAACTCAATGGAAATTGTTATTGGCCGCCAATCCATCTCATATAAAGAAAAAATCGATGAGCAAAGAGTGAATCGAGAAAATCGCCGCAGCTCTTTGACCACCAAACAAGCTCGTCAAGCATGTCTGCAGGAACTTGCTAAGAAAAACGAGTTCCTTGAACATACCGAAGGACTTCTATATGGCCCTGGAATCGCCGATTAATCGGTAAGCCACTTTAATCATACAGTTTTTATGTGTCAAAACTTTAAACGCGTTTTTCTCAAAACGACATTTTTGAATACTGCGGGCGTGATAACTCAAAAAGTTCTCAACCGATTCCAATGAAATTTTGCACACATCTACTTTACAGGAATAGCTTCTAGTTAAACCTCAAACATTCCAAGAAAAATTTCAAAAATTAACCTTTTTACCAAAAAAAACAGTGAAAAAATGGTGAAAAATCGAACTTTTTTTTTCTGAGGTCTGCCAATTTACGATTTTGTGACTTTTTTAATTTTTTGTTGGTTTAACTAGAAGATATATGTTTTATGAATACGTACAAACTAATTTTTTTGATTTCAGATCACCGTACGAAAAGTACGAACGCCCGCAGATTGATGGCGTTTTCCGAGAGGGTCTTGGCAGATCTATTTTTACGGCAGCCATTTAAAAAAAAAAAAATAAAAAAAAAATGTTTTTGTGTATTTTAATATATAATAAATAACCATAAAAAAATTCAAAAAGATTCAGTCATTCCTTCCCAGTTTAAAAAGTCCTCAAAAAATGGTAAAAATTAAGGCGATTACATGTATCGCCCCCCTTAATTGCCTACTCATACAATATTAAAAGTTTTACTTCAATAGCGTGTGATCCTTACGCGCACTCTTTTTTTTAAAGAGTTATATTTTTTTAAATTATATATATGCATTTTGGCGTGAAGAGTCATTTAAAAAACAAAAATTATTATTTTTAGGTAAACGGTGAATATTAGTATATTATATAAAAAAAATGTAGAAATGGATACAGAACAACGTCTGTCGGGTCATCTAGTTGAAAACAAATTTTTAAGTTCTCGAAAAGCGTTGGTTTGTACATACCAGAAAATTTCAGTTAAATAATTTGTCTTTAATCAATATTAAACTTAGGTTATGAAACTATCGATACTATATATAGTCAGTGGCGTCGGAACCGTGTGGGCTGGGTTGGGTTTGAGGCCACCCATGTTTTTTGATGGGTGATCTTAGCCGGTAAATAAAAATTTACGCGGTAAATAATATAATCTTCGAGAACGTTCGATCGTGTTTGTTCGCATTTGATTGGTTGCATTCAGTTGCGTTGAGATAAGATATTGATTCAGTGCGAGTAGTGTTAGAAGTTAGAAGTAAAATCTTTTCTTTGCTTGGAGATCGTCGCTAGTTCAACTTTAAAGGTAGGAATGGGTTTATTGTTATTTAATTTAATAATTTAAATACTGAGTAATTTTTACTGTAATGTATGTATTAATGTAATGTAAAATATAGTATACATTATAATAACTATTCAATTAATAAATAACTGTTCGTGAATAACAAGTAAAAATATTCGTAGGAAGTAAATAATTTTTTTCGAGAGAATTCCAGTCAATTTGAGTTCAAATTCAATTTTAAGATTTGAAATTTCCAAAAATATTTTTTTTTCACATTTCTTTTTGGCTGTTTTAGAGTGAGGATATAGGCTAGTAATAGTTTTTGAGCCCTCCTCCGACATCATGGCACACAAAAAAACTATCAAGGATTTCTTCAATCGCACTTTTCATCGTGGAAAAAAAACTGTTAGTATCACCGCAGCTGACACATTACAGCAAGGAGAACACATTCATGACAGTGATGTTCATGATTCTGCAGTCATAGGACTAAGAAATGACCAACCTTCTTTACAAAATACGCGACACAGTCATCATAGCTATAAAATTTCTGAGATTCCATCTATATTGTTAAAATATCACCCCAACTCTCAATTCGTGTTTCCGAAACAACAAACGTGACCGAGTCGAATCGAAGTGTGCAGCACAAGTGGTTCACTAGTTTTCATTGGCTACATTATGACATTGAACATGATCACCTTTTATGCTACGACTGCATTGAAGCTTGTCATTTTGTCAGCAAAACGGACTCTGTAGACTAATGCCGAAGTGGCATTTTTGAATTTTGGTTTCCGTAATTGGAAAGACGCTCTTGTAAGATTTAACACGCACCAGAAAAGTTCTTTTCATCAAAAATGTAAATCCTTATACGCCACAGAGAAATTGGTAATACTGTGGAATCTCAGCTTCATGATCAATATGCACAACAACAAAAAACCGCAAGGAATTGTTTGTTGGCAATAATTAGTTCAATATACTATTTGGCTCGTTCAGGAAATGCTTTTAGAGGACACAGCATGCAAGGTGGAAATTTGCAACTCTTATTAGAGAAGAGATCTTCGGATATTCCAGAACTAGTTTTATGGCTAAAAAAACGGGATGATTATTTAAGTGCTGGTATTCAGAATGAAATTTTGCAGTGCTCTCTTGAGAAGACTTGTTGAGGAAATGAGAGCATCACCACGCTTCTCTATTATCGCTGATGGCACAACTGACTGTTGTGGAAAAGACCAATTTTCATTGTTTATACGTTTTGTTCATCCAGACTTACTCACTATAAATGAAGTGTTTGTTGGACTTTACAACCCAGAAGACTCCAGAGGCTCTACACTAACTGCAGCGATAAAAGATATTCTGCTACGACTAAATTTACCCCTTTCAATGCTATGTGGGAAATGTTTTGATGGTGCTCGTAGTATGTCGGGAAAAAACAAAGGATGAACTACATGATGAGCAACCCAAGTCGATACATGTACATTGCTCTAATTATTCTCTTGATCTCGCATTGCAGGAAGTTATCAAAGAAAATGATAAAATCTGTGACATTCTTTGCTTGGTTAAGAATTTATCGAACGCTATATGGATCTTCTATGAGAAGAAAAATTTACGAAAGCGTTGTAGAACATGCAATAGAAGATGATCTAGACAAAAAATGGCATAATTTAGTTGCAATGTGTCCTACTAGCTGGTGTGTTCGTGTCACAGCTCTTGCACGGTACAAGAAAGAGTATTCTAGGGTCCGAGAAACATTGCATAAGATTATTGATGAACCATATGCAATAACAACAGAGAGAAAAGTGACAGTACCTGAATGGCTAAAAAAATATCTAGTTTGAGACTCTATTTTACTTGAATGCAACGATAGAAATATTCGGTCCGTGCGAAATCCTTGCTAGAGCGTTGCAGTCTCCAAAGCAAACAGCAGCTGGTGTGTACCGATCGGTACAAATCGTAGTTTCGCAACTGAAGGCTATGAGAACTTCAAACGCTTTTCAGAAGATTTATAAAGCCACAACAGACAAAGGATCCAGCTTGGTTTGTATCCAACAATTACAAGAGCAAGAAAGGTACCGAAAAAATTCGAACACACAACAAATGCCGTCCCGTCCACAGAACTTGACGGGGAAACAAATTTTAGGAAAAATTATTTTGAAATTCTTGATTTGTTGATGACTGAGTTGAAAGACCCTTTCGATCAAGGAGGATTGAAGACCCTCATTCGACTTGAAAATCTTCTAGATCCTCTTCAAGGAAAGGACATTCCCAACTTGGATGATTTTCAAATGTTATTAAAACCTTTCTCATATGACTTCGATGTAGATCTTCTCAGAACGGAGGTGAAAATGTTGTCAAGTATAACATTGGACCCACGTTCAGAATGTTGTAAAGATTTAGCTGAAATACTTTCTAAAGAATCTAAAACTGTCAAATCGGTGCTTCGGCAAGTGATTCAACTACTTATTATCGTGTAGACTGTTCCGGCATCAGCTGCTTCAGCCGAACGTTCGTTCAGCGCCTAGCGATGATCAGAAGAGCATCTCTTAAATCCATTTAAAAAAAAACGCTCATCACTTTATTTATTTATTATGCTTTCATTCTTATTATGAATTTTTTTTTATTATTATTTCGTTGTATTATTTTAAATATTGTTATTTTGTTGTATTTGTTTTTTTTTCTCAATTTTTTCTGAAATTATTTGTATGATTCAAAAAATGTACTTTATTAATTATATTATCATTATTAGCTTTTTATTTGATATTAAATAATCATATGATACCATTGCAACAGAAATACTGTTCTTTACTTTGTGTGATATTTTATTCAAATCCTTACCTAATGTTACCAGATGTTATTTAGCAGTTGTAACCAGTGTTGCCAAGTACAGGTGTGAAAACCGTAAACATGGCTGAGTAAAAAAAACGAGCTCACTGGCTGACTAAAAAAAACGAGCCCACTCAACAAAAATTTGGTTCCGACGGCACTGTATATAGTGAAAAAGAAAAATACATATGTGTGAGCCTAACTCTCAAAAAATAGTTTAAATATGTCGGATATATAATAGTATCTGACATACGAAGCCGAAGAATCAGCATTTTTTGCTATATCACACAAAAATGAGCATTAAAAGTACTACGTTGGTTGGAATGTTACGGGCACACAAGAAGAGGAGGCTAGGAAAACTTGCCAATTGAACAAAGGCTGCATGGAATGTTACTCGTAGTAATTATACGATTCCAATTAATGGAAACTTACAGTTTATAAAAGTAAACGAATAAAAAAACATTATAGTAAGTACAAAACATCAAAAAGTGAGAATGATGCAAAAAAAATTACATGAAACTGTATCGTTTTATAATGAAACTAAATTTTGGGTCACTGACTAAATAAATGGCACGAAAGTACGTCAGATAAGGTTCCAAATCGTGATTACTTATTTCATACAGAACTACGATGGTTATCAAAAGACGCCTGTTTAGATAGGTTTTATAAGCTGTTTACTTCGGTGTTGAAGTTTTTGAAGAATACTAACAAAGATTTGCGATCCAAACTAATTCAGTACAAAAGTGACATCGCTTACTTGACCGATTTATTTAAAAAATTCAATGAATGCAATCTTCAACTCCAAGGCGATGAAATAAATTTAATTGAAACAAAATCTGTTAATATTGCATTCATTACAAAACTGTTCATATACAAGCGAAATTTCGGACGAGAGAAATTAAGCCAGTTTCCAAACTTATCACAAAAATAAAAAAAAGATAGCGACATACATTCCTACCAAGAGCGCTTGAATGCGCAATAGAGTGGATCTCCATTCAGA